TGGTACGCAGCTTGAAGATGATCCGGCGAAAGGAATCGTCTGACAACCTGTCCATCAAGGTACTCAAATCGGCTGATAATTTGTAAGACCTAATATTGTCACTTATTTTTTTACCTCATTAATTATATCACATTGTTACAATGCAATTTCGTTCAAATTATAACACTCATTGTATCATAATTACCTACACTATATTATTTATTATAATACGTTAATGAGATTTATTCATTAAATGCATTAAGTGTATTAAATACCAATATATTTTCATCTGCGAATTTTATTAACAAATTAATTGTTATTATAACAAACGCATTTACATTAATCCTATATAGATCAAAACTGTAGATCATAATTAAAACTAAAAACAAAATTGTCATATTTTGCCAACAATTAATGTAGATATTACATTTTCTATATCTCTGCAAAAGTTGTAATAGTAAGATTAAAAATTACATAAAATACGAGAAATGACGAAGATAGATAAACATAAAAATAAAATTAAAATCAAATAATTGTAATTAATTCGGAACAAACAATTCATATACTTCGTCTGTACAGAAAGTTGATGTTAAGTTCATAAAATCGTCTTATTTTATAAATTTATAAATATGATTCATAAATTGAAAGCAGCACATTATAAGTGTTACGTCCTGATCAGACTTCACGATTCTTTTCTTTTTATTAAATACCAGACCTAGTAAACACGGGACCAACAAAAAACTCTTAAAGAATATTATAACGCCAGAGCTGTTTTTCTCACGAGACACCATGAGCTCGAACTTTCTCACAGAGAAAAATAGCAAGGGGAATAGATATTTGAAAATACCTTGGTCGGTCAGCATGTCTATCGTCGTCAGAAAAATCATAAAAGTCAAAACTTGCGGTAACCGGAGTCTTTAGTCGACTCCAGATGTTTAAAGTAAGAAATAAAAACTGGCACCAGCTAGCCATATACTTGGATTCCGCCTACGGGAACCCTAGTAGATAGGGTTTTACCGAGTGACGATCGAGCAATGACCACAGTCGCACGCCTAGAAGGCATGACACCTGATACGGTGCACGTGTTCAGTAGGTCTGGGAAACCGAGATGCATTAATCGTACTCTTCACGCGACCCCAGGGCCACGCGACAGTCGTAAACTGTCAAATTTATTAGATCAGTGACCCAAGGCCTCGCGAACTCATATACCGATTCTCAACCCTCCAATCCGAAAGCCGGGAATCGGGGCAAGCACTTCTATAGACCACCCTTTATTCCGTCGTACGGTCTAAAGACTACGCCCACTTAGATCTTAAGACACTGAGATGCACCCCACCTATACTAATTAACACTAACCGGGTTACGCCACCTCAAAAACCTACCCCCATCGCATATGGATCCGAAACGACGCTATTCCTTATTCGTTAGGGCCCCTTTCTTCCTACCTCCATTCCAAGTAACTTAATTACCTAAGCCTAATCCTATTAGCTAAAAATGACGCCACCCTCCCCCACATTAAAAATCTTCTTACAAGACTAATTCCTATTCGATCCCCGCTTCAAAAACCTAAGATTTTCCAAATAGATCCACCCCAAGGAAAGGGTATAAAAACCCATGTTTTGGTGGCTCCAAAGGCAATTATACACAATTAGTCACTCAGTTCATCAAGCAAGTTTTGTCAAGTCCTTCAGACAGTTTTTCGAGTAGTTCGGGCCGCGAAATAAAAAAAGTCGATACTTTGTCGCGACCAAGTGGTGCATCTCAAGTAGAGGGTCCATCACCCTGACGACACCATCCCGCAGCAGGGTGCCCGCACGTTTACAAAAGGGTCCACAACATCATCCCTCAACGGGGCGCCTGCTCAGAACCACCGAACATATTCAACCCGATCCGAAACTATCCTGCAACGAGTAAGTCGGTTCATTCCTCTTTATTTTATTATTTCTTCTTTCCTCCCTCCAGAAAAATGAAACATTCACACACACACACACACACACACACACACACACACACACACACTATTGTAAAGAATACACAAATAAAATTACAAACACATGTGATTAAGAATTAAGTTTTGTATCCTAATTATAAATTCAATCAAATTAAAATGTCGTTTTTAGTAAATTAAACTTTTGTTCTTTTTCATTTATCCACACCCTCCTCGTTCGTCACCCCTTTACACCTTCCCTCTCAAATTGCGCACAAAGGTTCCGTCCCGGGTAAAAGGGATTCAATTCTTTGACCCAAAAAGGGAACCACGAGCGGTTGACCTGTCGACGGAATAAAAACGACTCTTCCAGTCGCTGACCCGTCGCAAGTCCTAAACCTGCCGCTCGGCTCGTGCGGTCAGGCCCGTTTACGTCGATCGCCGAGCCCAATGAAAAAATTCTACATCTATCAGGACGTAACATAAGTATATCTAATAAATTTTGAAAATGTTACTTTATATTTATAAATGATAGATTTATAAACGTATTTATAATTTTATAAACGTATAATTCTATGAATAAGGAAAGAATTGCGCAATAATATTATGTGTGCAATGTGTATGTGTGCAATAATGTCATGTGTGCAATGTGTATGTGCGAAATAATGTCATGTGTGCAATGTGAATGTGTGCAATAATGTCTTGTGTGTAAACGTACGTTTGTATTTTAAGTTTTTAAATGTGCGTAATAATGCTTGTAGGCAATCGCTCTGTAGGCAATCGGGAATGTCGGCAATTGAAGCTGTTGGCAAAATGTTGTGGGCAAACAAAGCTGTTGGCAAATGGGAATGTAGGCAGTTGAACCCCTCTCCTTTTTATAATTTTGTATTAATGAAGAAAAAAAAAAAGAAAAATACGTGAAGAGTAAGTTCCATTTTTTGAATGAGGTAAAAAAAAAGGAACGTGACATTAATAATGTCGTTTGGTGATTTTTTGCTCCCATGTCCATTGACTGAACGAACGAAGATCGGAGAGTGTGCGTGAGAGTGCTATTAAGTTTAATAAGGACTTTTAGAACTGACAAATCTCCGAATCGAAGTTTGTATTGATCATAATCTCGATCGTCTCGAAGATTTGCCACGGAAGCTTAGACCTAAGTTTATTTATGTCAAGTAAACTTCAGCGAAAAATTATACATTTAAGACCTTTATATATTCAGTCAAATATAATATACAATTCATGTTTTTCGTATACTACGGCTGCTCACTCTTTTTTGTTTTATAAAAATGTATCCAATAGCTGTAACACGATTAACATTTAACTATCTGTTTATTTTACGTGCACATTTTCCAGGAAGCTTTAAATGTTGCAGTAATAATTTGCATCTGACAGTTTTCCCGTTAAATATCAACATATAATAGCTGAGTTATCTTTTTATCGTTTCATCAATGTACTAACGGACAAAAAATGATGTTCGCAACGTGTAATCACCAGTTCATATGTTTCGTTTGCATTATGACATCACGCAAGGAATTATTGATGAAATGCTTTTGCATTACATTAGTTATGCCATGTGATAACGTATCGACACGCCATCGAGACGCCCAGCAGCCTGAATGGAAAAATAGTATGATTGCATTCTGCAAATCGTGATAACAACTAAAATTGATTTGCTACGAATAAACGACGCAGAAAACAATGTGTTGGAAGATGATCTTCGATTCGATCTACGTTATAGCCATTAAAAAACGGATATGTTGGAATGCATCTCTACGGCAATCCATAACAGGAATTTGCCTTCCATTAATAGGAAGGTTTTACGAATCAAAATTGTAAACAATTAATGGATATCATTCATTGATGTAATATTGGTGCTACACATTAGCATATATCAATTTTCTCAGCTAAATTAATACTTTAAGGAATAAGTCGGTATGTGCATAAGATTTTATATAGAGATTGCAAATGCTTTATCCTCTTATTTGTGTTAGCTCGAACAATACGCAATCAAAGATTTATGATAATTATTTCTCTACAAAAAAACTACATAAAAATAATATAAAAGTTATGAAAACGTGTAGAGACGTCTTTTTGAGATGATTGTTACTCCTGGCTACATTGTCATAGTCCAAGATGAATGGCGTGATTTCAAAGAAAATGCAAGGAACTTTTGTGCCAATTTAGAGTATACCGTTATATGCCATGATGCAATAAGAACGTTTTAGACAAAGTCGAGAACAGGAAACCCATAATTTTCAACTGCAAAACTTAACCTTAACATCTTTCGAGGTATGCTTTCATAAATCATACATATTCGATGTTTAGTCTCGAACATTCTTCGAGTTTATGCAATGTTTATATTTTTCGTTAAAATTAATTTGTTTAATTAATAACATGATAACTGCTCTTCAGAAATCGATAAGGGAAGATTTGAATATTCAAAGTAGTAGTATCGTATGCGTATATAATAATCCTAAATTAGCAATCTATTACGTATTTTAAATTTAAAGAAATAAATTAGCAAATAATTAAATAATAATTTTGTTGTGATTGCATATTTTTAGGAAAAAAATTTCCTCGAATTCTATGACAATGATACAAAAGCTTGCTTTCGCAATCGCTGAATTTTACGTAAAGTTGCATTGTTCAAATTGCTATTGTATTAGAAAATTAACTGTTGACAAAGATAAGAACATACAGTAATCAAAAAACACTTTTCTTATTTCTAGATTACAGCCAATCAGATCAAATACAAGCAGCCTGGGTTTACTGGAAAATCAGACTTATCGGCATGGGTTATTAAGCATAATTTTTCGTAATGAGACTACTGTAATACCAAAAGTCGAAACATACAGGGTGTCCGATAATTGCTGAATTATCTTTCGGGTGTAGGTAGAGCGGGTTAAACCGAGTAGAAAAATCTTTTACCATTTTGCGTTTTTCACAATAATTAATAGGGAATTAGTTAAAAAATGTCGGTCAATTCGCGCGAGTTTAAGTGCGCAGCGAGAAGAGAAACCCACTGTTACTGCCGATGTTTTAACGCTCGCAAAATAAACTGGGTGAAAACAGCAATCCTCGCTGTCGCGCTGCATTAAGATCGCTCCGAACCCTTGACTTGACGCGTCGGTATGCAGTTTGGTATCTGCATTCGGAGAATATATTCGCAATACGGGCTCACTACACAGAATCTCTTTTAGTCTATTAAACGCTTTTATTTCTTTATCGCTAAACAAAAAATGCACATTCTTTTTAATTAAATCAGTCAAGGGACGAGTAATCGTAGCATATCCCGACACAAATTTTCTAAAGTAGCCTGTAAGGCCTAAAAAGCTCTGCACTGATTTCACATCGTTCGGTATCGGATAATTTTTTATCACTTTAGTCTTATCTTCGCTAGGCGCGACAACACCACCTTCTATAACGTAGCCTAAATAATTAACTTTCGTCCGCAAAAAGTGACACTTTTTCCAATTTGCCGCTAATCCATATTCGCTCGCTACAGACAAGACCGTTTTCAGCCGCGCTAAACCTTCTTGACAATCACTTGAGGGTATTGTTAAGTCGTCCATATAAACTGAAACGATTCCTTTCGCTATTAACTCTCTAAATATGGCGTTTATATATCTTTGGAAATACGCGGGTGAAGTACTTAATCCAAACGGCATTCGCAATAATTCGTAATGCCCGTTGGGCACTATGAATGCTGTATATTTACGACTATCTTCCTCTACTGCAACGTGGAAAAATCCGTTTTCCAAATCTAGCGTCGTAAAAACTCGGGCACCATGAAGTCTGTCTATCTGGTCTTCAATTATGGGTAATGGATAGCGTACTTTCGTTATTTTATCATTCAACTTACGATAATCTACACACAATCGCGTTGTGCCATCTTTTTTCTTAACAAGTACAATGGGGCTAGCATAATTCGAACAAGACGACTGAATAATGCCTTGTTCTAACCATTCTTGTATCTGTGAGTCAACTATCTTTAGTTCCTGCGGCGCTAATCGCCGGGCGCGTTGAATCATCGGAACGTCATTCTTTACTACTATTTGCAACTTAATTCCTACGTCTTTGGTTTTTTCCGGCTTATAATCTAATATCATCTGTCGAAATTGTTTCTTGTAATCCGAATCTTTCACATGCTCGACTTCTACTTTGTTTGCTTCAGTTACAACATTGATTTTATTGACAAATAAAGACTCATTTGCTTCATTCTCAACTTTCGTAATACTTATTATTTTACCACCTCTTATTCGCATATCGACATTTTCTAAAAAGTCTGAACCAACAAGAACGTCATCATTCAAGAGCGCGTCTGCGACCACATGAAAGTCAATTTCGAAATACTCGCCGTTCGTCTCTATTTTCACATAAGTTCGTCCCAATGTGACGTTTTCAGCTGCACCCACGCCACAAAATTTAATCGTCTGCTTAACTAGACTCGGGGCTCCTATCTTAACATAAAATCCCGCACGCATGAGACTTATGTTGCTACCTGAATCAAACAAAGCGTTTACTTCATTATTATAAGTCTTAACAAGTTTATAAATTTTTTTAGACTTATCGCGTATTACCTTCAGATTGTTCTCTACCTTACTCTGAGCCGCGTTACAGTTTTTTTCCTTCGTGCTCTGTGTACAATTCGCTGCAATGTGTCCATGTCCGTTGCACTTGAAACACAGCACCCCCTTTTCCTTCAAAGGACATGCAGAACTAACATGACTTTTCCCACCACAGTTGTAACAGCGCTTGATTTTCGCATTTTCGTCCGTCTTACTAGCCTGCAACTGTCTTTTCCTAAAATCATCTGACCTAACCTTAACATTATTCGCGTTTTTATTTTTAGCTTTTATTAATTCATACGTGTCTAATCTCGCTTTTAATTGAGAAATAGTTTTAGCGCCATACAAAATTGTTTTACTTATCTCATCATCTACAATACCGTCAATTATATATTGTATTACCGCGGAAGTTTCCATATTTATCGGCGACACTATGTCTAACAATTTGTAACAATACTGATGGTATGTTTCGTCCGTCTTCTTCTTTCTTTTTTGCAGCTTCATATGCACCGCATGACTGTCTGTTTTGGGGGCGAACTCAGATTTCAATGCCGTCTTAATGTTCTTCCAAGTTCCCCCTCGTACCTCATGATTCACAAATAGTCGCGCCGATCCGATCAATAACCGTCTTGCATATATTGTTTGATGCACCGCCGACCACTCACATAGCTTCGCTAGCTCGTCGAATTCCTTTATCCATTGGTTAATATTTCTGCCGTCATCGCCGCTGAATTAGTCGATGGCGTCTTCAATGTCCTTGAAGGTTAAGATGCACCCTCTGCGCCTCATCGGTTTATCGTCGTCCTTGTCTTCGTCTCTCTCATTTGCGTTTATCACTGTTTCGTCAAATTCATCATTGCTTTCGTCGCTTTTATTGCTACTTTCAACGTCGTTATCGTCGTCTTCGTCGTATCGTCTTAATCGCCTTATCAGCTCGGCTTTTGCGCCTGACGTCTTTAACTTATGCGTCTTTAACTCACTTTTCAATTGTGGTATCGTCATATCGTCGTACGTCTTACTGCTCATTGCCGTCGTTATCGATGGGCCGTCTTGTCCTTTATTCGCCATCTTTTCTTACACACGCTTTTTCCTCTGATCCCGGACGCGAGCTCCCACTTGTAAGGTTTGGGATTACTGAATATAATAATCCGATCAGTTTTATTAAAGTTATGATGATAATGTATTTTTTTTAATACCGGAAATACAAATAAAAGAAAAAGGTGACTTGCAAGAAAAGAAAACACAAAAGGTATCACGTCTTTACGTCGCTTGTCGTGGTCTCGCACTGACTCGTCGCGTTTGCTCGCGTTTTTTGTTTGTTTATGCGTGCGCCGCTGCGCGTATTGTCTTTGCGTATGTTGCCTAATTCTATCTCGCGCGCTATTTGAAAGTCTTAACTGCACCGCATCCTACATAAATAATTATAATAATCACAATATTTATAATTTATTAATATGTAATTTATTAACTTAGATTTAAAATTTCCTGTTTCGAATATATTTGTTCTAATTTATAGGTAAGTTCTCAGGAAACTTTCGTACGAGTTAGAGGGGCAAAACGCAATATCGCTGTATCAACAGTCGAGGAAATGTTTAAAATGGCGTGTTCCACGAAAGGAAAACGTTACATTCTACTCCAAGGTGAAGATGAGTCTAAAGTAAGAGGAGATATTATATGCCGCCTGAGGTTGAAAGGCTCTACTTGCAAATGTGGATAGTTGCCGGCGTCGCAAAGAATTTCAAATATAAAAGAACCATTGATCTTGAGTAACAAAAATGTCGACAGGAATTATAATATAATCATGATAATTGATTACATATAAATAAATAATTTTCATGAATAAGATACTCAAATTGATGGAAGTTGGACTTTTGGATGCAGATAATAGAACGTCGGCTGCCACAGACAATGCAAAACGAAATTAATGTCAATAAAACGGAAGCGATCAGAATGGATCAAGTTTCTGTAGTAATTGAAGTGATGTGATGTGGAATAATAATAGCTTTCATTATTCTTGTAATCGAGAAAATCGTGTATGCTTATAAACTCAAGCAATCTTGACTACATTTTTACGCGATGTCTGAGATCGAGGATCGATTTATGGTATTGAACAGCTACTCGCTTCAATCTATGGGCAATTACATTCAGACCTGGATAACGTTTGCACTTAAGAAGGACTTTCGCTACAGAAAAACCATTGACTCAGCGTAAGTGTCGCGCATATAAAATAGTCATTATTTATATGTCCAATATTAAAAAAATTATTATATGAGTTAAATTTTGTTTTCACTGTTATTCTTTATTTTTCAAACTTATCAAGTTCAACGAAGTCGTATAATGAACGCTCTTAAGGATCGGTGGCTAAATATCAGGCTAGAGAATAAAGAACAGAACAAGTTCAAAACGATCGATTTGCATCAATTGCACTTGATTTTCCTAATACTCTGTTGCGGAACACTCATCTCATTTACAATACTCATTCTAGAGAATATAAAATATTATTATGATACGAAGAACGTTCGACGCAGACGTAGACGTTAAGAAATAAGCTTTGGATATATTTAGAGAAAACTGTACATGAATCTATATATGTAGAAAACCGAATAATAATTATTTTAGCGAATATCCCTCTCTGTTTCTTCACAATTTATTTCTATTGCCTTTCTAATATATACTAATTATTTTTCTATTATATACACAATTTATATTGCAGTTGTATCGAAAAATTATAGCACATGACCTTATAGAGTTGACCTTCACTATTCCAACGGATGCACTAGTTTTGCCATGACAATGTATCAATGTGCTATTAAAGCATAACATTTCGCAGATCGTGATAACAAATAAAATTAATTAATTTATAAATTTAAAACATAAGAACATAATAAAATTTATAATTATAGTTAATATATTAAAAAATAATTATGTTTACAATAAAATATAGATATATAGATACATAAATATACAGATATACATAGATATATAGATACATAGATTTATAATCATATTCATAATTTATAACACAAACAAATAATTATACGTCAGATCTATATTACTTTTCTTGGATATATCTTTTAGTAAACAAAAATAGTCAAAATTAAAACTGCCATTATTGCTGATTGGTACTTGGACGCCATTATCATCATACTCATTTCTATCATGTCATCTTCTGGGGGAGGATGAATCTATATAAACAATTATAACATTCACATGAGAAAAGAAATTGTCTAATTTTGTTGTGATCATTATATTGTATATTTTTAATAAATTAAACGCAATTTGAAAAGGGTGAAAAATTAATTATATATACTAATATTAAAAATAATATCAATAAAACTTACACAATTTTTTTCAGTTTATTTGGCTTGCCAAATGATGTTCATTTTTAATATGGTCATTGAAATGCGTTCTAATAGCAACAGAGATGCTTCTATGACAAATATTACATTTTACTTCAATCGTGACTTTTGGTATGTACCTTCGTATATAGTCAACTCTAAAATGTATGTTTTTTAATTGTTCTTTAGAATGCGAGCGTAAATAATCTTCTAAATTTTTAGATAAAAATAAAATGTTCTCATCACAAATAATGCATTTCGCGCAAATGAGTTGAAATATGAATATTTTTCAAGACTAAAATTTTTTATGTATTTTTTATATGTAAAGATTATAAGGTGGACATCTCTTTAACAATACGTAACAAACCTTTAGTGACATAAACGTTGTGTCCGTTTCATGTGATGAAATGCGATCTGATGAACCAACTAGGTCATGTGTTTTTTGCGTATTTTTTAATTTGTCCGAGTGCGTCTCATTTATATGAGAATCTAGACATTCCTGAATAGAAAGAGGTAAATTGTCGTAACAAATATTACACTTCACCACAAAATCATTTCTTTGTATCCAATATTTTTCTGTCCAACTTTGAAATGTATGGCTGTTCTGTTGTTCTTTAGAATGCAAATTCAAGTGATCTCCTACAAATTTAGATGTAGATAGAACTTTTGAATCACAGATAATACATTGTGAAAATAATTGGTTTGAATACTTGAAATACATTCATGACCGTTTTCTTAGTTTTCCCTCTACTTCGTATTTCCAAATTTCTTCATGGAGTTTTGCTATATGACGTATAAAGTTTCCATTATCTATATAATTGATTAATTAAACGAACTTACGTGAAGTTCGATTACAATTATGCTGTCTCGTCCGGATGGATAATCGTAGTAGCGTTCAGCTGCGCTATCCTCAGGTTTTTAACACCAAATTCAAAAAAGGCGCCGCTTTCTTACACTGAGGCGCGCCTATCTGCACTCACGGTTCTTCATCAGTTCAAAGCGAACAAATCTGAAAATATGGTGTGGGTGGGAGGGACTCTCCATCCGGACGAGACAGCATAATTGTAATCGAACTTCACGTAAGTTCGTTTAATTAATCAATTATGCAATGTCTCGTCCGGATGGATAATCGTAGATGTTTAAAGCTCAGATTTGTAAGGAGTCAAAAGTAAATAAAGTACAACTTTATTTGCCTTTTGAACGTTCTTATTCATTTTATCAGAAATAAACCTATAACCAAATCTACACATATAAGACCCGAACACCAAATAGTCAAATCTATATATATGTCCCGTTAACCGAGAGCTAATAAATAGGCTTACGAAATATTCGGGATTGTAGCCTGAAAAGAAGAGTCTGTAATTATTGGCCAATTATAAAATCAAGCAAAAACATCCAAAGACTTGCCCCAGCCAGCAGTCCGTCTAATTTTGACTAAACTACACTCCTACTTGCTGCGAGAGATGTCGAAGTATGGCGAGTAGAATGTACTGAAAAAATATTTATATCAACTCCCGATGCGTCTAGTTCTGTTTTGGCCCCACGATCTAGTGTCTGGGAAAAAACTGAATCGAGTGAAACACGACCAGCGAGAAAGAAAGAGTCGCGACTCCTCTGACGGAGGTCGCAAGTGATCTGAAGATAAAATTTTATCAAGGAAACAACACAGAATTCTGATTTGTCCAGGAAAGGTTTGAATGCGAATAAAGACTGAGCTTTCCCAACGTCGGAGGTTTTGAGTTTAGCCGGGATTTTTAAGATTACGGAATCTGATGTAATAATGTTCGATAGTTGTATAGCTGCAAGCGTTTGCATTTTTTGCGCAGTTGGAAAAGCGAGAGGTGTTATCAACTGCCGCAATATCAATTCCAGCCCGAGATCCTCCTGCGAATATAAAGTGGCTAAATGATTAATTACTGGAGATGGATCTAAGATGTAATCACAACTAGGGCGTTGTGGTTTTAAAATCGCAACACCCTTGAAACAACTTTTTACTAACAGGGTGCAATCCTCTTTCTTTTGAAGAAATAGGAGATATGGCCAAGCGATATGTATTTAAAGCATAAAAGCCTACATCTGAAAAGGAGGAAGATAAGGATTTTAGAAAAACAGGGACCGACGGGGCAAAACAGCTGATCCTTTCGTTTACAGAAAGACCACCATAATCTACGGGGTTCTAAATATTGCGCTATTGTAGCGTCCGACCTTGATACGAACAGTGCAGTCAGTGCTAAGGACTGTGTCCTCCTAAGCAAACAAGCTTGCCGGAAAATTTCGCGGCTACTAGGGAAATCTTGTTCTATTTTAATGGAAACGTATCAACTGTTTGTGCTAAGAAATCCGAATGCCAAGAGCCGAATCGCTGGCACTTATTATTAATTGATGTGGCAAACCATTCAGTATCAAAACGACCAAGATAAAAATTAATTCTGTCGAAATACTCCTGACCCAGGGCGCACTCTGTTTCTTCCAACACGAGCGAAAAATGTGGAACGCTTCACGATTTTGCGTGTCATCTTTGCGCAGGGGCCATGCTAATCTTCTCTGTATCGTTCCAATTTTAATATATGTACTGCCAAAGCAAGTACTGATTCAGTGCCTACCTCAATATTTTGAGCCGATGGAATATATGAGGCATAAACGAATATATCCCGTTCTGCGCACCAATACCAGATTTTACTGGCAAGTTCAGCTAACATAAAAAATTTTATCAAATCCACACAATTAATTAACAACGAAAGAGCTGTGGAATTATCTACCCTTAAAAGATTCTTGTAAGCAAGCCTCAACGCATCTCAGTGCGTGAAATACGCTAAAAGTTCCACTTAATTAATACAATGTTGTTTATAAATACAGCTTTCCACCATAGAAGGCCCTCTCCGAGCAAAGCTGGAAAGGACATCTGGAAGGGGCTTTGATGTTATCGTTTGTTGCCCTAAGAGTTATAAACTTTACTCTTTCGAGGATCTTAGTATGCAGCATACCATACCCCACGGCTGGGCAAACCGATATCAGAAACCATTCTAACCTGCCAAAAGACAAATCTTGCATTTATTTTTACTTAATATGATAACAGTCATTTGTAGGAGATTATCTCTTCTGTCTGGCGGAATCGAGACCGCCAAATCTTGGTTATTAAAAATAAAACCCAGCAATTCGGCAAGACTTCGTTGACATGAGTATACTCTTATCTTTGTTAATAATAAATCCTAAAGAGGATAAAAAACTCATCGTTGTAGCGACACCTTCCGCACATTGGTCCTATGTTGGTGCAATGGGGAGAAGGTCGTCCAAGTAAACCACCGAGAAGAGACCATTCTTACTAAAGTATAAGACTGATTGTAAGCTCTTCGTGAAGATATCAGGAGCTGATGCCAGTCCAAATGGTGGGACTTTAAACTGAAAAAGTTGATTTCAAAAACGAAAGCGCAAAAACTTCTTATCATCCTATATGGATTAGTAAAAGGAAGAATGCGTCCTCTAAATCAATTAAGTCAAAAGATTATTTATGGAGAGCAGGTGAATTACCGTTTTCTAGTCCTCTAGCTTGCACTGCGAAGCTATAATAAACTAATTGAGGCGATTTATATTAATCATAAATAACCCTCCTTCCGATTGATTTCTTAATAACCAAGAACGGAGATAAAAATTAGACCTTACAATCCGCTACAATCTTGATTGTTCCTCTATCGAGAAGTCTGGAAATCTCCTGGGAGCAGATCTGTTCCTCCAACTTGGATAAGTGTTATGTGACCGGTGGCCTATAGCCAGCAATAGGCTGAAAGATTATCCGGTCTGATATAATTTCCTTCCACCGGGAAGAAAATAAGCAACCTGCCAGCAATATTTACTTCCTCTCTGTCTAGTATCTCCTCGACTGGGATCTGGAGCGGTATGATGATCGGCGACTGTTGTTCGCTGCCCCTGTTGTCCTCGTTGCTAATCTCAAGTATCTCACAGGGGCGCGGGGCCGTTACCCGGATCTAACGGGGGCTACTTACGATGGTTGCTTAATTGGTTGCTGAATCTTCCAAGATATTGTTAGCGGCGTTTTAATAATGTCCCCGGATGATTTCTCCATAGAGGCCGCTGTTCTCATCCGCTCTCTAAAGAAAGAGCCAAAAAGAAGGTTGTCAGCTGGAATGGCATCCACTGTATTTTTGGCGATCAATTTAAGGGCGGGTGTAATCTGCGCTCTTTTACTCAAAGAGAGTCGATAAAAAGGGCCACGAGAATCCTTGTTTCGTGTTCGGTCAACTCCGCGCGAGCGGAGAGACTCACACGAGCGTCCGAAGACGCCGTACTTTATCTAGCGACCGAATCGTCGCGCGTGTCCTTATTGCCGCCGGTATCTTTTGATCCGGTCAGCGACACTCGCTCCTTCGTTGACCTTTGTTACAGCCACTAGGGGATCCTGATGTCGATAAGTTGGGGGGGGGGGGGGAAAGGGTTTTGACCTGCTTTAATGCATTCTTTATCAAGATTTTTGAAACAGATTTAGCAAAATTGCTTTTTGACTTGGAAGGGGGGGAGGTTTAACTCCAAGCCCTCCCTCAGGATCCTCCAATGGTTACAGCTATGCGAGCCTCAGGACCGAAAGTATTCTGCGTAGCTGGCCTGAGAAAATCCGAGATGGCTTCGCCTAAAGCGCACAGCACCATGCCCACCTGAGCCTGATTCAAGGTGGGGGCCTGAGAAATGTTACCTCAGGAAGGGAGAATTTTCTTAGTAAAAGCTCCCGTTGATCTGCGAGAAGCCCGTTACGCGTTAGATCACGCCACCTCTGTGTCACTAGCTCGTTCCAGGATAAGATTTTCTCTCCCTCCAGATCGGAACCAAACAATTGTTCAGTAAGAGAATCCGCAGTATCCTCTTTTAAGGCCAAGATTATGGACAAGGAGTCTTCTATTAGCGTGTTTCGCTTAGATGGTCTAGGGGACGTATCACCCTCGCCTAAGATCTCACCTGCCACTGCCAAGATCCATTGGATGTTCCGAGTATTCGGACAAAAAAGGTTGTGTCGTCATGCCGCCTGTATTTCGCAAATACAGATCCAGCAATATCATAGACACCTGAATTGCGGGTCCGTTGGTCTCACTTGTCTCGCAAGAAATACCAGAATATTCGAATCAGATCTCTGATAGATTCTGACTCGATACGTGACCCATGGTCCGCCTGTTGCACAGGGAAAAAAGACGCAGGCAAAGACGAGGGGGGGGGGAGGACGGCAC